CTCAACCCAAAGATTGCCCCCATTCAGATGCCAATCACAAGTACTAGGTCCTGAGGTTACCGACAGCTTCTGTCCAACTTGGCTGCCAATCAGAGGTTTCAGTGACCTTCAACCCCTTGGATTCAATTATTTGCTAGAACAGCTCACAAAGTTCAAGGAAACACTTAACTTATATTTGCCAGTTTATTAAAGGATATTATAAAGGATATAGATGAACAGTCAGATGAGGAAATACATAGGACAAGGTCTGGGAGTGTCTTGGGTTCAGAAGCTCTGTCCCCATGGAGATGTCCTCCTGAAGTGTTCACCAGGCTGCAAGTGTTCGAACCCCATACTGTTGGGATTCTGTGGGGACTTCCTAATGTAGGCACAATCAGCTATTAACTCATTCCCAGCCCCTCTCCCCTCCTGAGAGAAATGGGGGATCGGGTGGGGTTGACAGTTACAAAATTCTAATTATGGCTTGGGTTTTCTAGGGACCAGCCCCCTAGCCTACCCATAGTCACCTCATCAGAGCAAAAGGTGTTCCTAGTGCTTAGGGATTTACAAGGGTTTCAGAAGCCCTATGTCAGGCACTGGGGAAAAAGACCAATTATAAATATTTATTATAAATCACAGTAACAATAACAATATTACTTTTCCCAAGCACATTTGTATTCTTTACTGATATGTTTGTTTTTCCTATAATAGTAGGACAAGAGAGACCTTAGCTTAAATTACTGGTTTATTAGTATAGGACCTCTTAACATTTTTAAAAATTACCCTGGCTGTTCCTTCGCTAGTTTCCCATTAGGTTAGCAAGCTGATTATTGTTAGTTTAACAGCACTTCAGCTGCCTCAGCTGTTAAATTTGTCATGTGGTCCACTTATGTTGACTTACTTTTCTTCCCTGTGTTCAGTATTAAGTTGAGTTGTTTTTAATCCCTTCCCTCTATTTTCTTCGAATAATTATGGCATATATACTTAGAGAAATTCAGGTTGTAGGCAAATCAGAATACAGGGCACACATGGGTACCTGTGATGTGCTAAATATTTTAAATTCCTTTTATTTTTACAACAGTCCTTCAAAGCATTAATGGTGATCAGTAGTTGGTGCTTCAGGAAGGTTTTCCCCAAGAAACTTTTTAAAAGTAACACTCAGTCAAAAACTCCTAGACAATTTAAGTTGGTTGTCTCTAAACTTGTCTGTAACTAGGTTGTCCATGGCAGTAATACTCCTGAAGAAAGGGTATATGGAGAGAAAGAGAGATTCGTAGCCGCACATATGGAAACAACAGAGAGGCACTTTGAGCCCATTCAAGCGCTTCTCAGGAGGAAAGGAGTCTCAGCTCCCCTCGACCAGAAAAAAAGGAAAATCTATTCAGGGCCCAATGCCTTGGTAAAGTAGTGGCCCCACCTCAGATCTGTCGCAATGCCAAAGCCAGGGCCCCTCTGCCAGACCACACTCATGTTGTCCTCACTGAGTACCTTGACCTGTAAGAGCAAATATTTTACAGTGCCACCTAAGTAAATATTTCCAGAGCTACATAACTTGGTCTGTCGATTTATTCATTCGTAGACCTGTAACAGAATGACAGCCAAGGAAATAATAGTTCAGTGAACCTCAAATAAGCTGTGCTTCCTATTCAGGACCCCTGTACAGTTCCAGCCTTGTCTCATATCTTTTACTTGAAAAAATATCTTTGTATTCATCTTTAAAATAATTATAGTCTGTTATTTGCAGTGTTTTTAACCATATTATCCAAGCATTTGGAGTGCAGTGGTGGTCCTGATATTTTGTTACCTGTCTCTTTGCAGTCACACAGTAACAGTCTGCTTGGCATTTCTGAACTACGCACTCCTTTCCTCGTGAGTCATGTTTTGCGTAGGAACTGAGGCTGATTGTTTAGCCAGAGTAACTTTGGGAACTCCCTTTACTCTTTGCTTTGTAACATGTATAGTGCATATCTGGCACAATTCTGATTGGCACAACTCTGAATTATGCATTGCCTACAGCAAACTTAATCCAGACCAATCTTCCTGTCAACCAGCAAGCCTTCAGATTACTCCTCTCTGCAATTTGCTTATATGTAGTATATTACAAATTAAAGTTAATGTCCTTCTTTAGATGAGGCAAAACATGCTCAAGACAACAAAGTATTATCCCTAGAAAAATGAAATATTCTAGGAAAGAGGTGAGAGTTATCCATGCTACCATCCCTCTTTGATTTGTATATTAAATACATTTGTTGTTGCTGTTTTAATAATTCAAACATATTCCAGAAGGCACAATTTTAAAAAATGTTTTATAAATCCCTTGGGGGTTATAAAAGAATGGCACTCTTTATTACAATAAAATCTTGAGCATGCCAAAGTACAGAACAACTTTAAAAGGAGAAAACACACTTTTTGCCTTTAAAGAGAGGAGAGCTCTTTTAAATTCATTATATCACCCTGACATGTAAAACTTTAAGTTCTAAAAACAAAAAAAAAATATTTATGGTTGGAACAGAAATATAGATGGGATATTGCCAAGGGGGAAAGTCAGAGAAAATCCCTTGTACTCAGCACCCATTCTTCCCTAGAAATTCATTTTCCAAAGCTCTTCTCTGCACAGATCTTAGAAGATCTTTGTATTTTGCATTAATAATGTAGAATTTTATTAGGTGACATATGGTTTATAGTTAAAGAAAATAAAAAATCAATTACAAAATAGAATAAAAATAAGACAGAAAAAAATAAAAACATTCACCTTACTGACTTTCACAAGGTCATGTGGCCAGTCTGTAGAATGAATCAATGTGATAGTTAAGAGTGAATCTGTAATAATCCTACATAGTATAATCAGTAGTGTGTTGTCAGGATTATAGCTGAAAATAACATGCAAATTATCTATATACAATGTATTTTAACACTAGAACTATAAAAATAATAGTAGCTAACACCTATATTGCTTTCTCCCTATGAGACACTTTCAAAGGGCTTTATACATACAGGTCCACATTTGCAAAATACCAAAAAAGTTCTGAAAAACCAAAAGCATTTTTCATAAATTTGCTTGAACTCTTTTGGTGCTAAAACACTACCCAAATTTACTTCACGCTATTTATACTCTTTATCCTACTTAATTTGAATATTCATTTATTTTCTGCAGAAATATTAATGCGCTTGATGGTGAAGTGCTGCTCCAGGCCCACTTGTTCTGCATGTTTCTTGGCCCCAGGATGTACCATTTTACCTTACTAATTTTTTTTTTTTAATTAGGAATTTCAAAATACATTCGGCCAAAAAATATTCAGAAAAAAGATTTTGGACCTGTGTTTACGCCTTTACTCCTCACAACAATGCTACAAGATATAAGTACTGTTCCTTTCCCTGTTTTATCAATGAGGAAACTGAGAAGACATGAAGTACCTGGACCAAGGTCATGCAGCCAGTAAAGGGCATGTGAGCCGGGGCGCTTGGCTCTCGAGTGTGTTCTCTGAGCTGTGCTCTCCTACCTCTGTTTATAAACCGATTTGGTCAGGTTGTTGATGACAGTTGGGAATTTATTCCTGATTCTCTATGCTGTACTCCTGAGATACTCTATTAAATGCTTAACTGCTAGATTTGAATTGGGAGACAATACAAATATAATAAGGTATAAGGTCCTTGCATTTTTTAAAAATATCTGTCCTTTTGTCTGACCTATTTTGTCAATAATTTATATATACCTAGTTTTCAAAAGAGTTTCACTCTAATCACATATCACATTACTATATTCCCATCTGCTCCCCGGTTTTCTGAATTTGAATTTTAACTTTTTATATATGGGTATCTTTCATACATCCTTGTAGGACAACTGACCATATATTTGGCATTGAATATACTCTTAAATAGCCCGCTTGAAAATCATTCTACTACATCAGGACTAAGACTTAATCAATTTAATTGCAGTGATAATTTAATAAACTCATGAGAGAGTAGGACAGATGATAAATTCTTTTCCTAGATGATGATTCCAAGTTATTACTTCAAACCCTATGCTGGCTTTTGCAATAAAACTTTCAAGAAAGAAGGCTTATCATGGACAAAGTATTCTTTGCCCATGTTCTCATTTCTGTTATGCTTCTTCCTCTGAGAAATACCTTTTATTTGCTGTGTATTTGGACATGAAAATCACATTATTTGAGTTTAAGTATGAATATTTAGAGTTGTATATGATAGTTTCGGTTACTGAAGGATATATCTAATCAATTTTTTAAAAATTTCTATAGGTTCTCAAAATTTACTTCAGAATAATGAACATACAGCTTCAAGACACAGAAGTATCTATTATTTTTGTAATCTTCACCCTTTCCTGTTTTTTACCTCACATGAAGTATTCTGTGTACAAGAATATTGAATTTGTAGAAAGAGGGGAGGGTACTACAGTTTTAATTGAATAAACCTCTGTCTTTATTAAATTATAAGTGATTTACTTGTCTGTCTTCAAAGCAGCATTTCCTTTATTTTGTTTTGGGGAAGTCTATGGAGGTGGAGGGCATTGGAAAAGGTATTTAGATTTTTCTTCAGTTATTTTAAGAAGTCACCGGTTCACCTCATATTTGTCCTGAGTCTAAAAAATACCCCACATGTTTTTCAGCTCCACTGAAGTGATCCAAGTAATGTTGAATGAAGTCAGTGTTGTATACAGCTAAACTACCAAGACCCTAATCTTGATTTTCAATGGGAATAAGAATGTCAACCTTTTTTATGAGATATACATCTTTGTTTCATTTCATAAGAAACATTGGAATTACTAATCTTAGCTTCGAAACATTTAATAGTCATAGTTGATATCCCTGCTTAGTTTAGTGTCATATTCCTCCGTGGGGTGCATTCCCAGCCCTTTCACTGCTAATCTCAGGTTTAAGCAGAAAGATTTCTAGGAATCTCCCTTTCAGTTACCCCTTTTGAAAGCTTGTTTTTAATAGCACTTTTCTTTCTTCGCTTGCATGACATTTTATCTTTCTTTTCCTTTCTTTTTGCCGTTTGCAAAGACTCTTGGGAGGATTTGACAGATTTGGTGGAGCAAATGCGCGATGATACAGAAGGTGCGTGCCACACCAACATCTTTCAGCCTTTCTTTTCTCTTTCTTTTTGAAATCTTCTAACCACCTTTTGACTGTTTCCATGAGAGGGAGAGTCAGCTTTAGGTTGTATTTCCCATGGCAATAACTGGAGCAGTAAGCATATTTGACAGATTTCCCATAAAGGTACTTCATACTGGATTTAGGGTTTTCAGAGTCTTGCATTTGAAATCTTTATCCTTGTGGTTCAAACTGAAGTGGCATTAATATATGTTTATACTGTTACTTTAGGATATTTTTTAAATAACATGTACAAAAGAGACTTCCTTTCAAAATTATATCAAGTTTTTCTATGGTTGTTTTTTCATTCATGAAAATTATATATATTTATATATAATTTTAGATATATATATTATTATTTATTTTTGTAAATTCCATGGAAATAATAGTAGTAGTAAAAAAAAAAACGTATCCCAGGAATGTAAAGTATTTGGTGTGGAATGTTGCCCTGATTTTTAGATTTCCATAACATTAAGTGCCTTTCCTTTGGTCATGTAATAGCATTCCTTTCTGGTGGACTTACTTTGAAAAGTAGCACATATTTTCTAATGTATGATGGTTTCCCAAACCAATAATTGTTCTGTAATTGGCCCCTAACTTTACGGAGCTCAAGGTGATTTACACATTTTATAGTAAAAGTAGAAAAATTAAGTTTGGTTACACTTTACTGTATCATTTTCCATTCCCCCACTCTGCCTGAGCAACTGAAGGTCCCCAGCTTTGGAGCACACTCGCTGAGCACACACACTGCTCTGCCCACACTGGCCGTCCTGCTGACAACTGCAAGCTGCAGTCAGCCTCCCCTCCTGCCTTGTTCCTGTGACCTCCCAGCCAGAGTGTTGACTCCCCGGTTCCCCTCCCTCTGCACCATCTGGGCCACCTTCAGTCTCCATGCCAGCCCCAAAAGTGCTCCCCAGAGCCCTGGCCCATGTTCATTTCTCCATTTGCTGCAGTCCTACAGAACTTGGAGCTTAAGGCTTTTTACTTGCCCTCTAATTCCTGTGTGTTTATCATGCTAATTAAAGCATAAAATCTTCAAGAGCAAAAATTATCTTAAACTTCTCAGTATCTTCATTGGACCTGGAATGATTTGGTAGTTTTGATCACACAAGGTGAAACTAAGGCAGTTCTTTCTCCAGTGATGCCCAATAGTGTCTTCTTCAGTACATTCCTTTGAATGAGTAAATCATCCTGTTTCCTCTCATTTCCTATAGTCAGTCTTAAATTTTTATTCCATCTTTGTTTCTACTTTTAATATAACTAGTTATATATAATTTGATGAAAAAAAGCAGTATTGTATAGTTGATTGACAGTTCATAAATGAGAAAAAGAGGAGAGTGTTGATTCAGTGAGTAGTATTTACTATTCTGTTAGCTGCTATTATTATTTAACAAGTACCATGCAGGTTTAAGGTTATGATCCCTTTAATAGACTAGGTATTAAAGAAAAAATGCTATGCAAAAGCCAGCAAAACTATGCCCTTCTTAAGGACTTCTTCCATATGACTCATCCCTGGCAAAATTCCATTTCTTTAATACAAAGTATTACTATAATAGTCAAGCCTACTCTGAGAGTCAGCCTCCTCTTTTTCATTTTGTTTTTGGTTAATAATAATGGTAGGCGAAATCAAAGAGGGAGTAAGGTGAATTGGAGCAGTATAGCACACACAAAAAACAGAAGATGCAAATTGCATCAATACTTTGATGATGTTAATAGATTACCAGTCAAGTGATGTATGGTAATGTTGGCCAAGAACCTATTTACAGGAAAGACTTTCTGGAATGTTGTTTAAAAAGAGAGAGAATCAGAATGGGGAAAGAGAAATGACTTGTTAACTTCTATTTTTGAGTCATTTCATCCTTGTCTTTTTTATATCATTTTCTACTTCTTCAGTCTCTCTTCAATTATGTGAAATGCTAGAATTTTACTGTATTACATAACTTAGAGTCTTGGTAAATGAGTACCTATAACACAAACAAATTTGAGTTGTGGAGTGTATTACCCACACCTAACATACATAAGCAGCTCAAGGTCTGGGGAGGATCCTGGGAAAGCTGATGATGTATGTTGACTCAGATCCTTTCAGGAGACCTTTACTACTGAGCTGTTTCAAGTTTATTTCTTATTGTTATTAGGAATGTGTCATGACAGTGGGCTTTTTTAATAGATGAAGTGTTAATGCTGGGTCCTCCCCTTCTGAAAAATTGCATTTTAAAATAAACTCTAGGAGGATGCAGATTTGAACTGTTAGCTTTTGAGTTTTGTTTCATTCTAATTTTGACAAGATTGCAGGTTTTTCTGGTGAACTGATTTCTTCCATAATGGGTGGTTTTACATTCAGTGTATCTGTAATTCCTGCCTAGTAGAATATGAAGTGTCTTGGGGAGGAGTCCTATTGCCCATATAACATTGATCAATTATTATGTCATGTCTCATCTCATTATAATGCTATTAATTTATGTCTGAAAGTTTTGAAGCTCACTAGAAAATTATGAAGATTAAGTGAAATAATAAAAAGCACATAGTTTGTTATTTTAGTTCTGCAATAAATATTGAAATCCTTTCTATACTCATTTGAACAGATTCTGTGAATCTGCACTTTTCCAAATTACCATACGTTATCTATGAGCTTTGAGATGATTGGGACAGTACTTGAATTAAGGAAATAACATACCTGTGTGAAATATTTATTACCTGATCAAGCTTGTTTACTTAGTCCCTTGTCACATTTTCTTTTGTGTTTAGACTTTATGTCCATCTTCTTGAAAAATGGAAGAAACATACCTAAAAGATTGTCTTACCATCTAGCACTATATCACATAGTCATTCAATAAAGGTTTATTTTAAATTATATAAAATTGTTGAATTTGTATTTATGGAGGACCATAATAATTTTATTAGCTACCAATTTTTTGTTCTTGGTATGTCCTAAGCATTTCTAAACACTTAACATAGATGAACTTGTTTATCTTCAAAACCCTACATCATTTTATAAATGAGGAAAGTAAAATCCTGCAGAGTTAAGGAAACTTTCCCCATGGAATACTACTCAGCAATTAAAAGAAACAAAATACTGATACACACACCACCTGGATGAATCTCTAAAGAATTACACTGAGTGGAAAAAAAACAGTTACATATTGTATGACTCCATTTATATAACATTCTTGAAATGACAGAACTATAAAAATGGAGAATAGATTAGTATTTGCCAAGGCTTAAGAGAGGGTAGGGGGCTGGAGGGAAGTGGATTTGGCAATAAAAGGGCAACCTGAGGGATCCTTGTGTTGATGGAAGCATTCTGTGTTTTTACTGTAATTCAGTGTCAGCATCCTGGTTATGATAATATACTCTAGTTTTGCAAGATGTTGCCTTTGGGGAAACTAGGTTAAAGGTACATGATATCTCACTTATTTTTACAACTGCATGTGATTCTACAATTATCTCAAAAAAAAAAAGTACAAAAAAGAAAAGGAAAGAAAATAAATTTTCCCAAAATCAAACAGCTAAGGAAGCATTCCAGTGGAGTTCAAACTTCAGCAGGCTCACTCCAGGGTTTGTGCTCTTAACCACCATACCAAAGTTCTTCAGACTTACTTGACTCAAGACTCACTGTAAAGATGTATTTTCATGAATACTCAGTACACACATCATTTATTTGTATATATCTAGGACAGAAGTTTCATAAAACAATACATGACCTTACTCTGTGGGAGATAACTAAATTGATTTTATACTCCACTGAAGGGTATGACCTTTAGTTTGAAAGACACTCCAGTATCCTATACTGCTTTTCTGGAATATACGCATTTCAGTTCTAGCTACCAAGTTATTTGCAAAAGAACCCTTTCGGAAGTGACTCTATTTTGGGTTCTGTTCCCTGTAACTGTTGGCACCCTTTGAAAGTTGGGCCCACAACCCTGAATCCTTCAGTTTCTCTTTAAAACATCTCCTCTGGTGAAATTATCTTTTCTAATAACTGCTAGTGCTATTATCCCTATGTTAGTGATTGACCAACCCCAAACTTATTTACAACTATGTGATAAAATGTATGTTGAGAATGCTTCCACATAAAGCCCTTTACTGTAAGTAAAATCAAGATGATTTTACTCCTTACATCCAAAACTGTTACTCAGTTTTTCATTTCCATTTCCAGTCTCACAGGGCAAAAACCTTGGGTCATTCTTGACTCCTCTGTTTCCTTAAGAGGTACAGTTCTTCATGGCTGGCTGTTTTAATCCTCTTCCCCCAAATTCACTTTGTTTAATCCTCTCAGACTCATCATCTCCAAAGTTTTAATCATGCTGCTTCCCTGCTCAGAATTTACAGTGGCTCCTCCCATTGCCTGTTCCATGAATATACAAGTCTAGTCTTAGAGACCTCTGTCATCTTGACTCTCCCCTTTCTGTGTTTTCCACATCTCATTCCTTTTTCCTTCACCTCACTTCACCCACCCATATCCACCTTTTGAAATACTTTCTTCCATGTCTTCTTGATTGCACAGTTAGGGTCTGCGTAAGTCCTGACAGTATACTGAAATTTATTGTGCTTCTATTCATACTACTTTTGGTATCGTCTCATGGAGCACAAGTATATAATATTTCCCAGGAGTTAAAACTAATAGAGATTATTCCTGGGTTTTTTTGTTTTTGTTTGTCAGGTCTGGGGTTTTTCACTACTTACCAGCTAAAAAATTAGCCCATTACTTTTTCTTGGATGCTGGCAAAAGACAAAGTCCTAGGTCAGCGACAAAGGACTTTATTGCACCAACACGTTTTAGTTCCTCCCGCACCAGAATCCCACCTGGGAGAAGCGTTGTGGTTCAGTGGGATGCTCTGCATGTGGTGTGGTTGGGTTTCTGATGCAGCTGAGGAACACTGAGTTTAGGGAATCCACTGTTTTTATAGGAAACAATAGGAAAGCTTCATCTCTAGTTAAACAGCCTAAGAAGTGGCCCAGGTGAA